CCCCGAGAGGAGCGAGGAGCCCGTGGCGCCTGAAACAGACGACCATTCAGTCGGCTTTCTCTAGAGCGACGCCTTACGACAAAACGCCAAAGAGACACAAAGACCTCACAGATGCAGGAGATTATTGTTTTTGATTATTGACCAATAAACACTGTTACAGTTTTATATCCTGATATTGATCGATATCAGCTGATATGAAATCAATAATAAATCCTGATAAACTCTTTCTCAGATGGCCCAGCCCTACCTTAAAGGATGACTTATAATTCGTCTCCACAAGTCCTGATTCAGGCCACACCCCCTGATCTTTGGCCAATCAGACTCTGTCCTGTCTAGTGTGAGCCCGGTCTAACTCGTCCACTTTTTGATCACAGAGCTCACAGTCTGGTCCTGTCTTCAGGTCTCTGAGGGGACCTGGATGAAAAGCTCCTGCTGCCTCTCCTGGACTCGTCTTTGAGAGGTTCTTCTTCTTCTTCTTCTTCTTCTTCTTCTTCTGATGTATAATTCAGTGGAGGAGACGAGGACAGAGACACAGGAACAGCAGCAGGTGGAGGTTTCAGCATGGCACAGCTTCAGAAAGTCTCCGGGCAGCTCCCCTCAGATCTCTGCCCGGCCCGGAGCTCAGTCCTGAGCTGACCCGAGAAAAACCAGTCCTGAACCCTCACAGCTGTCAGCTTCTATGAAGAGCCTGAGGGGAGGAGAGCATCTAAACAAGCCGTCTGCATCTGACAGTGAAGGTTAGCCTCCCAAACACGTCCAGTAAACACTTAGAGAGATGTAGATGAGGGACTACCTCTCTCCCTGATACTGACTCAGACTCACAGCTGAAGAGAAAACAGCATCTGACTGTAAAAAGGAGAGAGATCTACTGTGAGGTCTGTCTACGCCGATGACACTGATCAGAGAGGAAAACAAAATGATGTGAGGGTTCAAACTTTTATTAAAGACATATTTAAAGATCTAAAATCATCTTTAAAATGTTAGAGGCGGAGTTTAAAGGAGGTGACGCGAGCTACATTAGCCGGTTAGCCACCTTATACCAAGTACCAAGTGATCCAGTGACCCGGGTCTTCAGTCCTCCAGAGGATAGACCGTCTCTGTCCAGATCAGCCCGACAGTCGTCCTTCAGAGGCTGAAGCTCCAAAAATCTGATAAACAGAGACTTTAAGTCTTTAGTTTAACTTAGTTTAAGTTTATTTTACTGTAATTATGAGTTTTCATGGTCGTCCCTCCAGCGCCACCCTGTGATCCTCAGAGGATACTGCAGGACCACTCCAACACGGTCAGATAACCCTCAATCTCCACCTTCATCCTGATCGTCTCCTAAAAGGTCGTATCCTCCGATCGTAGCTGATCGTAACCATTCAAGTTAACGTGTCAATTTACACCGACTTCTGGAAAGGAAGTCGGGCACAGACACAAAATAAAACATCCTGCTTCTTTTCAAAATAAAACACTCCGTGTTTCAGGAGGATCGTATTTCACACCATGCAAACGGGCGGAGACGAACAAGTGAAAGGTTTTTAGACGTCATTTCACCCCGATGACACCATGGATGAGGAGATGCTGATTCTAGAAGTCTAGAAGTAGATTTCCTCCTCTGGAAGGACACAATCTACTGCTTATATGTCTATGTGTCTGTCTTTAGAGAGACGACTCGTTATCGTGTGATTGAACGTGAATCTGCGGGTTCTCGCCTCACAAATCGCCGTCGTTCCAGATCGGAGCCATTCCTGATGCGGTGATAATTGGGGGTCAGCCTGTTCAGTTTGCGTCCGTTGCTATGGTTACTCATGTTAAACACTGTCTGCAGTGCGTTAACAGGAACAGTTTGTTTAATTGGAACATAAATCAGAAGTTAACAGACACCTTCCAGCCAATCAGAGCTCAGTATTCAGTGTTCAGTGTTCGCCGAGGCCACGGTGTAAATAAAATATGAAACTCTTCCCACAAAGTCAGAGATAAACACCTTTTACTCCCTCTGAACTAACGTTCTTACTTTATAAAACAGAAATCTCTCTTTTTTCATGCGGATAAGAAAACAGGTCACGGCTGCAGGAAGAGGAAGTGAAGTCTGCGGAGGATTTGTTTCTCGACAAGGTGAGCTGGAGGTCAGAGTCTGCAGACTTTCTGAGAACGCATCTGCAAAATTTAAAACTCTTCTAACCGTCCGGTCGAAGCGCCGCCCTGAACAAAACCGAGGAGTGGAGTTTAGTCTGAAAACCAGGCTGTAACTTTGAAGACGACTCTCTTCCTCATAAAATAATCACAGCACAACATCTTCACCACGGTCACTTTCACAGGGTCGTCTCCTGCAGCCCTCACTCCTCCTCCTCCTCCTCCTCCTCCTCCTCCTCCTTTCATCAGCAGCAGCTCCAAATCTAATGACGGATTCATGTGTCAGACTTTGGAGTCCAATATGAGCTCCTCTGTGGGTTCACTTCGACTCTCTGCAGCTTCATCCAGAATCATTTCAGCAGCAGACAGTAATGTGAGGCTTTAAGGCACGCTCAGACGATCAGACGGCGAGCTACACCAGTACAGAGGCGGGCTGGACTTTTGCTCTCTGTAATTTAAAGGAATTATTTTTGCACTTGGAGCACTTTGGTGCATCTTTTAGGAGCGGCGCCCTCTTCTTACCCGTCGAATATGAAGCACTGCCGGAGTTTTCAGCCCATTAGAAAGAAATGGACTCGACTTTTCGAAGCGTTTCAAAGGAAATCAGGAGTCTTTAGACTGATTTCTTACCTTACAGACAGACGTTTGTTTCGCTTCATTTTAATATGAGCTGAACTCGCCGTGACCTTAAACTCTGCAGGAAGATTCTCAGCTCCTCTGAGCGACGAGGAGACGGTCCGAAATAATGACGAGGAGAACCGACCCGATACTTTATTATGAGGTCTGACCCTCTGTCTGTGTGTGTGTGTGAGGACTCGGACCTCTGACCATAATGGAATCAAACGAGCTGACGTAGAAGCAGCACCTCCTCATCTGTTGGTGGTGGGTCTCAGTTTCACGGTTCATAAAGGCTCACACAGACGGTTCAGTCGGGCTACTCCACAGTTTCTGCTGCTGGGTCTCAGTTTCACTGTAAACACACAGACGGTGTTATCGGTTACTGTTCATAATAATGCATCAGATTTCATAAAGCGCTTTTTTATCAGAGACCCTCAGAGTGCTCTACATTGATCCGTTTTGGTAGGTCTCTGTTTCACTGTGATCGACAGAGTTTAAAGGGATATTCTGGTGTAAAATTAATTTAGGGTCAAACCCACCGTAACACCGAGTTAGACACCCCCTCCAGAGATGAATGTTGCCGACCGCTTGTTTGTAGAGAGACCTCAGGCCAGTCCATTACAGACTACAGCGGGGTGCCGCAGCTCAAGGAAGAACATTTATGATCATTTCTTCATGGAAATACAATCAGACCGAGACGCTAAGACAGAAGAACTACCGCGTCTGTAAAATGATTAATATGATTATTACTTCAAGGAAATGATGAAGAAATGATCATAAATGTTCTTCCTTGAGCTGCGGCACCCCGCTGTAGTCCCTAATGGACTGGCCTGAGGTCTCTCTACAAACAAGCGTCTGCTGGAAGAGAGTAGGTGAGTTGTGTTTAGTCTCTTTGCTAAAGAAATGAGTCAAAGTTAAAAAGATGTTTGGTGTCTAGTACTATGTCTGTGACCCTATATGTCCTGTTGATGAAGTTAGGTGCTGTTCTGAGCATTATTTGTGGCTATAGAGTGGCGTTTTGGTTGGGGGCGTGTCTCTCTGTATTTCTATCCTGCGGTCGTCACTAAAGTTGGTATAACTAGAGAAGGAAGCGGTCGACAACATTCATCTCTGGAGGGGGGGTCTAACTCGGTGTTACGGTGGGTTTGACCCTAAATTAATTTTACGCCGGAATATCCCTTTAAGCTACTACATGCTCCTCATGTGTGTCTGCTGGGTCTCAGTTTCACTGTACAGTCAAACTGCGGGAGGTTTCACCTGTTTGCTCCGTCTCCGTAGAAACCGATCTCCTGTATTTACCTGAACCCTCTCAGTCTGAGTTTATCTGGTTCCTGAGAACAAACACCAGAACACTTTTACAGATCTCTGGACCCCGGACTTCAGGGTCCCTGTTTCCATGTAAACTCTGCTGACGGACTCTAAGGTGACTCTTATTTTCCTGTAATCGTTTCTGACAGCCGAGGATTCTGGTCATTTACTGAATAAATCTGTTTTTCTTCTTCCTCAGCGGTCGGCCTGAATAGAGTCCGCTCATTGGATGGAGGATAATCCTGCATGCTCATCCATCCTTTGACTCCGCCCACCTCCGTCCACCAGAACGACCTGCTGACTCCGGAGCAGGAGCGTCTGTGACTCAGGTTTGAATGTTTTTATCAGCTCGGCTCCTCGGAGACGAAAACATCCTTTCATTGGAACAAAGAGCAGAGAGGTCTGGTTATACAAGCCGGCGCCGCCCCGCCCCCCACCACCACCACCACCATCACTCACCCGCTCCTCCTCTGGTTAGCATCCTGCTCCTCTCTCTTATCCTCTCCTTCAGGCCTCACCCGCTGCTCCCTCTCATCTGTCTCAGCCACACAGGGAGTCTCCCCCCCCAGGAGTCGTCCTCTGTCAGCAGGTATAAATTCTCCGCTCGTCCCCGGACTCTGCAGGGTCTCAGACTGTCGGCTTTAATGCTGCTGCTGCTGCTGCGCTCCCTGATTTATCCGGTATAAAAACCACAGTCTGACGGCAGACTAAAGATGGAGCTGATTTACATTCACTGAGTTCAGTCTGATGAACAGTAACGAGAGAGTAATATGAGACCACCCTGATTACTGTATGACCCCGCCCTCTTCAAACTGAGCGCAGACTTTACAGGTCAGCTGATCCCAGATACAGCCTCTGATTGGATAACAAACCAAAACAAAGATGGCGGCCTTTGCGTTGCTTACCCCAGGACTCCACTGGATCTGGAGCAGCTCCACTCATGAGATAACCGTATTTCTCGCCTTATAAGAATCCAAATCCTTTTGTCTTGTCGGAGCGCTGCAGCTACCGGAGCCTCACCGACTTATTGAATGAGGTAAATATAATAATGCGCTTTATAATCCAGTGCGCCTTATGTATGAAAATAGACGCAAATAGACGCATTTATTGACGGTACCAATATTTTTGCGAGACTGGACAAGATCCCACAAGATCACGCGTGTTTCCCCGGGAGACATTGAATGAGATCTGCTGATCAGTGTGTATAAACGGCGGTGTAAATAAACACCCACATCCCACAACACTGACCTCTCCGATTATCAAGCTAAGAACAGTTCAACATATTGATTTGATTTGATTTATCTTCTCTGAGGGTCTCCTGGAGTTTTCCCCCTCAGAGCTGCCGGTCTCACACAGTGAGTGGATTTGACAACAAGTCACTCTGATCCTGTTGTGTTTTTAGACCTGCTATTTCAGGGTCTGCACCGACCTGTTTTTGATTCAAATGATTAAAAGAACCACTTTAATTAACTTTTTAGCATCAAGACTTTTTGACTTTGTCAGGAACCTCGATTTCAACAAAATAAAAACATTAAACTGACTAAATTATAAAATGCTCTGAATAAAATGATGGCACTTGTCGTGTTAGGGTCGCTGCTAACCTGGTTAGATCAATATGCAAAAACTAAAATCATAAGTTAACCTAAAGATGAGAACCAAACTGGATGATAGAGAAATGTGTTTAGTGAAATTTACAGCTGATTTAAGACAGGCAGTAAAAGCTAACCCAGGAGGAAAGTTAAACACATCAATAATCCACATGTACAGGACTAAACTCTGAGTTCAGTTTGAGACTCTAGCTAACATGATATTAATGACCTCTGCTCCAGATCTAATCCATGAGATTTCAGTTCGGACCATCAAACCCAGAATGTGGGTCTAAAACTGTTTGGCTGCGACAGAGCATGTCGAGTTTTACTTTGCAGAAAATGTGAAGAAACGAGGATCTGCTGTGAGGAACTCTGTAACTTTGGAGGGTTAGCAGATAAAACTGCAGATGAAGCTGCAGATGAAGCTGCAGATGAACCTGCAGATGAAGCTGCAGATAAAGCTGCAGATGAAGCTGCAGATAAAACTGCAGATGAAGCTGCAGATGAAGCTGCAGATGAAGCTGCAGATAAACCTGCAGATAAAGCTGCAGATAAACCTGCAGATAAAGCTGCAGATGAAGCTGCAGTTGAAGCTGCAGATGGAGCTGCAGATAAAACTGCAGATGAAGCTGCAGATGAAGCTGCAGATGAAGCTGCAGATGAAGCTGCAGATGGAGCTGCAGATAAAGCTGCAGATGAAGCTGCAGATAAAACTGCAGATGAAGCTGCAGATGGAGCTGCAGACAGCTGGTGCAGCCTGTTTCTGTTGTCCTCCTGAGGGTTCAACCATCATGCCCACTGTTCCCCCTCCTCTGCAGCAGGTTTAATGTACAGTAAGTGATCCTGGCAGCAGCCTCCTTTAAACACATAAATAGTTCTGTTTGAGAAGAGGACAAATGTTCTCCCTCCGCTCTCCGCTGGCTCTTCCTCTCCATGTTTCCATTTAGCAGATTTAATGATGCTTCCTTCAGAGCAGCTGGGTGACAACACAACAAACCATCTGCTTAAAACACAAAGACACACTTAAGTAAACATGATCCACGCAGCGAGCGCGCACAGACAGAGCGATGAAATAACACGGCGTCACACAGACTAATGGTATTTACAGAGAGAGATGTAATAAATCTTCCTGCAGCTGCTGCCACCTGTTTTTACTGCAGAGGCTCCTCTGCTGGCATAAATTAATGATCGGGCTGAGAGTCAGTCCTCTGTGAAGACCTGCAGGAGACACCAGGAGAGGAGGAGGAGGAGGAGAGACGATGAAGGAGGGAAGAAGAAAGGATGCAAACAGGAGATCGAGATGAGCTGCAGGAAACGACTGCTGACACTGCAGAAAAACACGGATCTGTGTGGAAATATTAGGATGAGAACCAGCCTCTGCAGGTCCGGTTCAGGTCCAGGTTCAGGTTTATTAGGTTCAACAAACGACATCTAACATAGTTATGTCCACATGTCTCTGAAACTGCTTTCAATTCAACTTTATGATCCTTTTAACAGACTAATCTTGAGTTTCTGTCAAAGTATGTTGTCCTACACAGAGGTAATTATATTTAAACGAGGCGGATAAATAAAGTAAAGTACACAACGACTTCACAGCACTGTAAAATACAGTCAGATTCATGCGTCTGATAAAGAAAATACTGTTTTTGTTTTTTTAAAGTTTACCTGCGTTCCTTCAAACGTCCAGCAGGGGGAGACTCTGGAGTCTGATGAGAGGATGAGGAGATTTGACTCTGTTTATTACCTCAGTAACTGTCCCTCAGTTCCTGAATAATGTCTGATTAGTATTTGTACCATGGTCCAGTTTTTCCTCAGGAGACTCTGATGACCACTCAGGCTCTGAGACCAGGAGGAGCAGGAGGAGCAGGAGGAGCAGGAGGAGCAGAGAACTGTAGGATCAGCTGCAGAAATCCAAAACTTACTGATAACTACAAACAGATGCTCTCCTCAGCGGTGGTTTGGTTTGTTACGGTTGTCCCGGTCCTTCAAACTTACTCAGACTTGGACACTGAGTGTTCACATGAGCAGGGACGTGATGGCGGCAGGGACAGGAAGTTTCACCGTCTATCTTCCTCTGTATGGACCACTCAGCAGGAAACAGGAGGGTCCGAATAGTTGGTGAGGGAGCGGTTCTGTTAGCTGATGTGGAAACACGTCCAGGACTGTTCAGTCTGAGCTTCATCATCATCTTCTCCGTGGACCTGAGCTGCACCGGGCCGCTGAAACACGGACGTAACATTAACAGTAACCCTTGTGACCTCTGACCTCTGCCATGACTCACTTTGAACATAAACCTGATGGTTACATACAGCCTGGGCTCTCTCCTGCCCGCATCCGGAACAGCCGCGATTTTCGCTGTCTGCCAATTTGTGAGGCGAATTTAGTGGCGGATTACGAACATCTGTAATCGTGAGAACTCACAAGAACCCGCAGATTCACGTTCAATCACACGATAACGAGTTGTCTCTCTAAAGACAGACACATAGACATATAAGCAGTAGATTGTGTCCTTCCACAGGAGGAAATCTACTTCTAGACTTCTAGAATCAGCATCTCCTCATCCATGGTGTCATCGGGGTGAAATGACGTCCTAAAGAGGGTTAGATTTTAATTTTGATCCGCAGAGGAACGGAAAGAAGTCGGTGTAAATCGACACGTTAACTTGAATGGTTACGATCAGCTACGATCGGAGGATACGACCTTTTAGGAGACGATCAGGATGAAGGTGGAGGTCGGGTGTCACAGTCCTCGTCTTATTTCTGCTTTTCAAAGTCTCATCAGGATCGGATAAAAACAGTTTCTGGAGGCTCGGTGGTCCACACGGCCGTGGAGGTCAAATAATTGTGAGACTGTAGTAATATTTCTGATGGTCCATGATGCAGAGTTGACAGGTTAGACCTGGTCCAGACCTCAGAAGAAGTCAGACTGATGGATCTGGTGTGGTCCTCCAGGCTGTAACAGCTGTAAGACCCCCAGAAGAAACCCAGTTCCCACTTCCTTTCATTTGTTTTCTGGTTAATTCATGGATTTAGAGATTAGCGCCGTCTGTTTGAAGCTTGTATTTTTCATTACTCAGCACAAACTTGCCTTCTGGTGCTGAGGATTTGATGAAGAGCCTCCCACATCATAAGTATGTATCCCATCAGAGGCTGCTGCAGCGCTGCCGTTAAGTGTCCAATAATTGCCCACTGATACTGAGAGGATCTGCTTTAAGACGCCTGAGTATAAACGGCTCTAATTATTTCATGTGAAACTCTTTTATTCAAATACGGCATTTTGCATGAGAACATCAAATAAGAAAGTAATCAGCTGGTACAAACCGCTGCGGCGGCCGGCGCTCGCCTCGCTTCAAAGCAAACGAGCGGCTCATGCATATAAATGTACGGATGCATTATACACACACACACACACACACACACACACACACACACACACACACACACACACACACACACACTCAGGCTTTGAAAACAGGAAGTGTCAACACGGTGAGTACTCGTCTCATGGGAACACTCTGCTGAGTGTATCTGTGAGGCCCGGTGTGTGTGTGTGTGTGTGTGTGTTTGTCAGGGTTTTAAAGAGACTCTGATTTCACCCCCAAAGCTGCTGCAGCTGTAGGTGAGCATCATCATCATCATCATCATCATCATCATCATCATCATCATTATCATCATCATCATCATCATCATCACCATCATCATCATCATCATTATCATCATTATCATCATCATTACCATCATCACCATCATCATCATCACCATCATCATCATCATCATCATTACCATCATCATCATCACCATATCAGTCATCATCATTATCATCATCATCATCATTATCATCAGTCATCATCATTATCATCATCATCATCACTATCATTATCATCATCATCATCATTATCATCATCATCATCATTATCATCATCATCATCATCATCATCATTATCATCATCATCATCATCATCATCATCATTATCATCATCACCATCATCATCATCATCATCATTACCATCATCACCATCATCATCATCACCATCATCAGTCATCATCATTATCATCATCATCATCATTATCATCAGTCATCATCATTATCATCATCATCATCACTATCATTATCATCATCATCATCATTATCATCATCATCATCATTATCATCATCATCATCATCATCATCATCATTATCATCATCATCATCACTATCATTATCATCATCATCATCATTATCATCATCATCATCATCATCATTATCATCATCATCATCATCATCATCATCATCATTATCATCATCATCATCATCATCATCATTATCATCATCATCATCATTATCATCAGTCATCATCATTATCATCATCATCATCATTATCATCATCATCATTGTTGTTATCATCATTATCATCATCATCATTATCATTGTTGTTATCATCATGATTATCTTTATCATCGTCATCATCAGTATTCAATCATCATCGTCATCAAATCATCATCATTTTATCATCATATCACCATATAATCATCATCATATGATCATATCAAATTATCATAACATATCATCAACATGATCTCATCACCTTATCATTATCATCATATCAAATCATATATCATCATTATATCATAGCATCTCATCATCATCATTGTATCATCATATCATTTTATCATATTATCATATCAAGTCATCATCATCATCATAATCCATTATTATCATCATCATCATAATCCATCAACATCATCTTTCAGCATCATCCATCATTAATATCAATCATCAATATCAATAATCAATCATCATTATCATCATCATTGTGGTCTTCATCATCATCAACATCATCATCATCACCTGAGAAAAGACAGCAGAGTTTACCTGAGGAGCATGAACGTCTCAGTCAGAGTTCATTCAGTGTTAGCGTAGCAGCAGATAACTCTGTTCTTAAAGGTCACGGCTCACTCAGGAGGTCATTCATCAATCTGATGGTCTTGTTTGTATTTGTCGACCATAAAGATCCTCCAGTAGGAAATGTTCACTGTTTAAAAAACTGAGAAGACTTTGAATCTAAAAGTCATTTTAGTAAAAAAAAAAAAAAACTATTTTATTTGGCGATAAAAGTGTTAGAGAAGGAAAAACTTAAAAAACCTGCTGCAGAAACAAGAATTTAGACCCGAATCAAATTTCTGTGGTTAGTGAAGGGTCAGAGCTCTGAGTCTGAGACAGAAAAGAGGGCGATGATTTAAGGAGCTGAGGCATGAAGATTGATTTACGTGTTAAATTCTGCTGTTCAGGTTTGATTTGAGTCAAAGACACAAAAGGAGGAGAGGAGGAGAGGAGGAGAGGAGGAGAGGAGGAGACGGAGTCAAAGACAAAAGAGGACAGAAAGATTAGGAGCTGTTTGTCAGCAGCAGAGGGAGCATGAATACCAATCCTGCAGGAGGAGGAGGGACACGTCTCCTTCAAGGTTGAGATGGAGGAACACTGACGGGAGGAGGAGGAGGAGGAGGAGGAGGAGGAGGAGGAGGTCTCAGTTTGAGAAGAACGATGAAGAGGAAGGAGAAGGATGAAGATAGACCTGAAATCGGAATGTAGTTTCTCTGATTATGAACATCGTTTTGGTCGGATTTAGTTTCCACTTCACTTTGGAGTTTGGGAGGATTCAGGGCCCACTGAGAGGACTCAGGGCCCACTGAGAGGAGGATCCAGGGCCCACTGAGAGGACTCAGGGCCCACTGAGAGGACCCAGGGCCCACTGAGAGGAGGATCCAGGGCCCACTGAGAGGACTCAGGGCCCACTGAGAGGACTCAGGGCCCACTGAGAGGACCCAGGGCCCACTGAGAGGAGGATCCAGGGCCCACTGAGAGGATTCAGGGCCCACTGAGAGGACCCAGGGCCCACTGAGAGGAGGATCCAGGGCCCACTGAGAGGACTCAGGGCCCACTGAGAGGACTCAGGGCCCACTGAGAGGACCCAGGGCCCACTGAGAGGAGGATCCAGGGCCCACTGAGAGGATCCAGGGCCCACTGAGAGGACTCAGGGCCCACTGAGAGGACTCAGGGCCCACTGAGAGGACTCAGGGCCCACTGAGAGGACCCAGGGCCCACTGAGAGGATCCAGGGCCCACTGAGAGGATCCAGGGCCCACTGAGAGAAGGATCCAGGGCCCACTGAGAGGACTCAGGGCCCACTGAGAGGACCCAGGGCCCACTGAGAGGATTCAGGGCCCACTAAGAGGATCCAGGGCCCACTGAGAGGATTCAGGGCCCACTGAGAGGACTCAGGGCCCACTGAGAGGATTCAGGGCCCACTGAGAGGATCCAGGGCCCACTAAGAGGATCCAGGGCCCACTGAGAGGATTCAGGGCCCACTGAGAGGAGGATTCAGGGCCCACTGAGAGGATTCAGGGCCCACTGAGAGGATCCAGGGCCCACTAAGAGGATCCAGGGCCCACTGAGAGGATTCAGGGCCCACTGAGAGGAGGATTCAGGGCCCACTGAGAGGACTCAGGGCCCACTGAGAGGACCCAGGGCCCACTGAGAGGATTCAGGGCCCACTGAGAGGACTCAGGGCCCACTGAGAGGATCCAGGGCCCACTGAGAGGATCCAGGGCCCTCTGAGAGGACTCAGGGCCCACTGAAGGGATCCAGGGCCCACTGAGAGGACTCAGGGCCCACTGAGAGGACCCAGGGCCCACTGAGAGGATTCAGGGCCCACTAAGAGGATCCAGGGCCCACTGAGAGGATTCAGGGCCCACTGAGAGGACTCAGGGCCCACTGAGAGGATTCAGGGCCCACTGAGAGGATCCAGGGCCCACTAAGAGGATCCAGGGCCCACTGAGAGGATTCAGGGCCCACTGAGAGGAGGATTCAGGGCCCACTGAGAGGAGGATTCAGGGCCCACTGAGAGGACTCAGGGCCCACTGAGAGGACCCAGGGCCCACTGAGAGGATTTAGGGCCCACTGAGAGGACTCAGGGCCCACTGAGAGGATCCAGGGCCCTCTGAGAGGACTCAGGGCCCACTGAAGGGATCCAGGGCCCACTGAGAGGACTCAGGGCCCACTGAGAGGAGGATTCTCGGCCTGTTTGTGGAGCAGGTCTGTAAAGAGAAGTCTGCAGGTCCGGAGAGCGAAGGTGAAGAGATGCTTCAGTTTCTCCATTTTTGTCGGTTTTTCAGACTCTGAATCAGAATTTCTCGTCCACCTTCACCTGTTTTCTCCTCTCAGAGTGGAGCTGCTGGAGTTCAGAGCTGCACTTTGCTTATTAAAGCTCTCTGCAGAACTCTGAATCATCATTAGTCTCAGCAATAATGCAGCAGCGTCCTCCAGGAGCCCCGCTGTCATCGCAGCTCTAATTAAATTGGTCAGAAGATTAATGGAGCCGTGCGTCGGTTCTGACCCGTGTTGGAGATGAAAGGATTACAGACTTTACCGCCTGTTTGTCAGCCCTCATCTTTTTCTATCTGCCGGCGGATAATTTTCCTCTCAGAGCAGATCCAGCAACAACCAACCAGGTCCGGACTTGGAGCAGGTTCTCCTCGGTCATTTCTTCATCACGCTCCTCCTCCTCCTTGTTTTGTGTCTCTGTTCGGTCCAGAGGAGGATCCTGGTCTCAGGAGTCCTCATAAAGCCGGTCTGCAGGACCATCACGGAGGATGTAATTGGACTGATGGATGTGGTTAGAGGCTCTGATGGGGGCGGGCTATTCTGCTTGAACTCTGATTTCAAACTGTGAAGCATTCTGGGAGATTTTAAGAGCTCATTGAGAGGCGAGGGGAATCAGCTGTCACGAGGTTCGAGCTGATCGACGGAGATGAGAAGGTGATGAGTCAGACGGATCAGAGGTTCTCAGCTGTGTCCAGAAAAACAGTTTTCATGATGAAGGAGGAGAAAACAAACAAAGACGCTCCTAAAAACGATCAGAGTTTATCTGGAGTTTCTGTTTTCTCATTTTAGGTTGTTTTAAATGGGGCAGCTGTTATCTTCTGTATGGAGGATGTTTGTCTGCAAATTAACCGAGAGAAAGAATTTAAAGGTGGAGTAGGCAGGAATCTGTTAAAGAGGCATCTTTATGTTTGTGTATTTATAAAAAAAAATCTTCTAATATCAGTCAATAGTTATTAGTTATTGATGACATTTGGTAATATAACGACCTGACCTGATTGGTTGTGAGGCAGACGCTGCTCCCCCGTGTCGTTCAGGAGCCCAAACAAAGTTAGCGTGCTACAATATCGGACAGCAGAAACCAACCAGAAAGTTCGGAAAATTGTCTGAATCCTCCTTTGGCCACGACTGCCGACACAAGCAAGAAAACACTCAAACATAAACAGTCAGCAAGAAAACAGTCAACACCAAACCGGTTAACAAGAAAATGGTCAACACCAAAACAGTCAACGTAAAACAGTCGGCAAGAAAACAGTTAACCATAATCAGTCAACAAGAAAACAGTCAACAAGAAAACAGTCAACCATAAACAGTCAACAAGAAAACAGTCAGCAAAAAACAGTCAACCATAAACAGTCAACAAGAAAACAGTCAGCAAGAAAACGTCAACCATAAACAGCCAACAAAAAACAGTCAACAAGAAAACAGTCAACAAGAAAACAGTCAGCAAAAAACAGTCAACAAGAAAACAGTCAACCATAAACAGTCAACAAAAAACAGTCAACAAGAAAACAGTCAGCAAGAAAACGTCAACTATAATCAGTCAACAAGAAAACAGTCAACCATAAACAGTCAACACCAAAAGAGTCAACAAAAAACAGTCAGCAAGATAACAGTCAACAAGAAAACAGTCAGCAAGAAAACAGTCAGCAAGAAAACGTCAACTATAATCAGTCAACAAGAAAACAGTCAACCATAAACAGTCAACACCAAAACAGTCAACAAGAAAACAGTCAACAAGAAAACAGTCAGCAAGAAAACAGTCAGCAAGAAAACAGTCAACAAGAAAACAGTCAACAAGAAAATGCTGCTCCCCCGTGTCGTTCAGGAGCCCAAACAAAGTTAGCGTGCTACAATATCGGACAGTAGAAACCAACCAGAAAGTTCGGAAAATTGTCTGAATCCTCCTTTGGCCACGACTGCCGACACAAGCAAGAAAACAAAGTAAATACCGGAGACTCTGGAGTCTGGAGCAGGAGCGTCTGTTTGTGGGCGGGGCTTAAGAGAGGGAGGGGAGGAGCTGAGGGGAAAACTGGTTGGAGGGGTAGAGTTTACATTCAAGATTTCTCCTAAAAACTGGAACCTCCTCAGATCCTGACTACAACACCTTTAAACCACCTGATGAGGCGAAACCTGCAGCTGGACTAACTGAGTGTATATGGAGCTGTGTAACCGCAGACCCGTCAGGAAGACTGTGCTGATGACCCATAGCCGCCCCCCCTCCCTGACCACATTAGTATTAGATAAGCTGTATTAGCCCCCCCCCCCCTGTATTTCTCCATGACCGTCAGTCTTTCTGAAACTCTCGGTGACTCTCTCTCTCCCTCACAGAGTCGGTGTCAGCTTATTTCAGCTCTTTTTTCCCTTTAATGCACATTACAGCAGACGATTATTAGAGGCTGAGAGCGGAGAATTAACTTCCTGAACTGGGGTTGACAGTCGAGCCGCCGCCGCCGCTGTGGATGATCTCACTGAGCGTCGGCTCTCCTCTCTCTGAGCCCACTTTCCATCCTCTAATCTAATGGGTTTCTCTTTCAGGGGAAAAATGATAATTGCTCTTCACTCATGGCTCTCAGGGGAGGAAAATTATTTTTCATTTCTGCAGTTAATGTGTTTTACACACCACTAAATGACAGTCAGTCAGGTAATATTTCCTAACATGATTGAAAACCAGGATTCTGTCTGAGAGTGTGTATTCATGAGTCTGTGTCTGCAGTCTGTGGTCCAGACAGACAGACAGACAGACAGACAGACAGGCACACGCTGTTTTTCACGTGACTACAGACACATGACAGCTGCAGAGTAATGAACACGTCTGAAGGCTGTTCTTAGTTTGGAAATAAAGATCTTTAAACCGGACAACGCCAGATTTAAAGGTGTCTGATCTGATCGAAGTTTGGAAACGGAGAACCAGCTCCAAGAAGTCTGAGCCTCATCTGGACGACAGCATGACGAATCAGATGAGGCTGTAAGTCGAGGAAGTCATCATGGCGGTCTGAAGTTCTGTTAAATATGACGGATTATTAAAAATACAACAACATGACGTGAAATCCACTCGCTGTGTGAGACCGGCAGCTTTCTGCTCCAGAGTAGAGAGGTCCACCATGGGTCAAGTCTCCAGGAGCTGAAGGTTAAGAGGGTTAATATTCAAACACACCATCCTGTCTGGATCCTTGTCCTGGTCTACAGGACCTACAGGACCTGTGGGCCTGCTCAGAACTCCTGGGCCCGTTTTTAGGATGTTAACGATGAATCGAGTGGATTAACAGATTAATTCAAATCAAAATTATTCTGTTTGATTCTCTCAGACCTGGACTCCTCCAGAGAACTTTAGCAGATCCCAAACCTCCTTATTCATCTCATACTGGGTCTGTAAAAACCTGGTCTCAGTTTTAGCTGCTTTTACTCTGATGGAGAGTTAGGCTCAGTTTGGGGGTGTTACTTTTCACACAGCTGCTGTGACGTTCTCTGAGCTTCATGAAGATCTTTAGAGATGATCAGCTCCAGGTTTCAGGATCAGCTGAGACTCTAATCCAGCCCGTACTGGTCTTAGTTTCCAGAGGAGTCCTCGGTGAGGTGGCGAGCTCTTATATCTACGCCGTGGTTGTTTATCATGGATCCTCAACAGGAATGTAAATAAAACCAAAGAGAAGAGGTCAGTGAGATTTACATGACTCTGAAGAAGCGCTACTGTGTGTGTGTGTGTGTGTGTGTGTGTGTGTGTGTGTGTGTGAGGATCAGCTGTTCCCTCTGAAGATGTAAACTCTCAGAGCGGCGTGCAGAGAAAGTGACCCCGATCCTGCAGCAGCTGATTCAGGTTTACATTCCACACACGTCATCTCTCTCAGACTTCGGCGCCGCTGCACGGACTCTCTCTCTCCTCGCCACTTTTCAGCTCCTCTTTGATGTGCGGGATAGGCGAGAAGTCCGTGAGTGTGTGTGTGAGTGTGTGTGTGTGTCTGTGTGTGTGTCTGTGTTAAGCAGACAGGGTTGCACAGACTGTGTTTTCATGCCCCCGGTCTTACCTCAGTGACTGTGTTTGCACAGACTGACAATAAGGAGGTGAAATAATCAGACTGACTGACTGGTGATGGTGGACTGATCCAGGACACCATCACCAGTCTCCATCATGTCTCCCTCTTTGGAAAGACCAATCAGTGCAGCAGGACATCGTGGAGGACGCTCCTCCAGAGTTTCTCCTCCTGCTGCAGTTTGAGTTAAAAACTGGAGGACAGATGTGAGGAGCTCCGATTTAACCAATCACTGCTGAGTTATAATTACCAACCTCAACGAGAATGTCGCTGACGTCTGAGGTTTCCTCTGACTCAAACGTATCACATCCTGAAATAAGGAGGGACATTTCATATGAAGCTCTGAGGAAACTGAAGAAACCTCCATGCAGCGTAATGGAGGTTCTGCATCTTCATTAGAGTTTCTATCAGTGTGAGGAAACAGGAGGAGGACCTGCTGCAGAAATATTCTCACTAACATCCTGTTTTTCCAGAAGAAGGAGGTTTATGCATTAATCTACATTTCTGTAGATGTCAGCTGTTTTCAACTCGGTCCATCTGTGAGATGTTCAGAGACCAACTAGCTGGAAATCAATTTTCTCCAATTTACAGAAAAAAACACCAACAGAAACCACAAACTCCAACTGCATCCTCAAAATCCAGAGTTAAAGGGATATTCCGGAGTAAAATTAATTTAGGGTCAAACCCACCGTAACACCGAGTTAGACCCCCCCTCCAGAGATGAATGTTGTCGACCGCTTGCTTCTCTAGTTATACCAACTTTAGTAACGACCGCAGGATAGAAATACAGAGAGCCACGCCCCCAACCAAAACGCCACTCTATAGCCACAAATAATGCTCAGAACAGCACCTAACTTCATCAACAGGTTTAAAAAAGGTTTAAAACCTTAAAAAGATTTTAAAAAATACAGGTTTAAAGAAACTGTATTCTTTTTAAACCCGTATTTTTTAAAACCTGTATTTTTTTCTGAAACTTGTATTTTTTTTTGACCTGTATTTTTTTTAAACCTGTTTTTTTACACCTGTATTTTTTTTTAACTTTTTTTTTTAAACCTGTATTATTTTTTAAACCTGTATTTTTTATTTCAAACCTGTATTTTTTTAACCTGTATTTTTTTTTAAAACCTGTAATTTTTTTTAAACCTGCAATTTTTTTAAACCTGTATTTATTTTAAACCTGTATTTTTTTTAAACCTGTATTTTTTTAAACCTGTATTTATTTTAAACCTGTATTTTTTTTAAACCTGTATTTTTTTAAACCTGTATTTATTTTAAACCTGTATTTTTTTAAACCTGTATTTATTTTAAACCTGTATTTATTTTAAACCTGTATTTTTTTAAACCTGTTTTTTTTAAACCTGTAATTTTTTTTTAAACCTGTATTTATTTTAAACCTGTATTTTTTTTAAACCTGTGTTTTTTTTTTTTAAATCTGTATTTGACACAGTTTTTCTCCCAGCAGCTGGAAAAACCCTCGGACTCAGAGAACAGCACCTCTGAGGATGATGTCGGCTGGCAGGCGTACACATCACTGCAACACTCTGTCACAAAGCACTTTTCCATTCATAAATTTGAGACTTAAAAAGATCCCCAAAGATTCCTCACAGCTTTAGGGGATGTTTTTACCTCCCTGAGTTTTACAGTCGGAGCGTTCAGCCCTCATTGACCTGATTCTCAACAGCAGACATTTAAAACACTCAGAACCTTCAATTAGCATCATGTCAACATCTGGAGGAGAGACCGCCCTGTTCTGGAGCACCATGACATTTTAGTGATGCTCCAGCGTCAAACAGGGACTGAGTTTGAGGAGTTTTTCTGTTAGGATGCATGAAGAGTCTGGATGAGTTTTAAAGAAGTTCCCCTCAGGTTTATTTTCATTTCTAATCAACTTTAATTATCTCTGAAACCCTGAAGGCTGATGGCAATAATAAAGGCAGAATACGTGGAGCGCTGCACTCACTGTCTGATCCGTCCATGCATCCATTCTGCATGTTTGTTTTTGCTGATGTTGGACACATACTCTGTCCTTTTATCAATCTGATTCCCAGAGTCAGTCTGGGTTTCATGTCGGTGTTTCAAACTGGAGGAATAAAGACGCAGAATCATCAACACGAACTCTCCGACCCTGATCGAACTTCAAAGAATGAAGAGAAACTGAGATCTGACGACAAAAGTAAGAAAACAAGGAAAAATACATTCACTCTGGTTTGAAATACAAAACATGTGTCACTGACAGAAATTAAAGGGATATTCTGGTGTAAAATTAATTTAGGGTCAAACACACCATAACACAGAGTTAGACACCCCCTCCTGAGATGAATGTTGCTCACCTACTCTCTTCCAGCAGACGCTTGTTCGTAGTGAGACCTCAGGCCAGTCCATTACGGACTACAGTGGGGTGTCGCAGCTCAAGGAAGAACATTTATGATCATTTTTTTATCATTTCCTTTAAGTAATAATCACCATATTAATCATTTTACAGACGCAGTAGTTCTTCTGTCTTAGCGTCTCGGTCTGATTGTATTTCCATGAAGAAATGATCATAAATGTTCTTCCTTGAGCTGCGGCACCCCGCTGTAGTCCGTAATGGACTGGCCTGAGGTCTCGGAGGGGGTGTCTAACTCGGTATTACGGTGTGTTTGACCCTGAATTAATTTTACGCTGGAATATCCCTTTAAAGTGGACTGGAACCACCTGAGGGAGCTTTGATGATTTACAAACCAGATAAATGTGGTTTTTGGTGCAGGTGGGGTGCAGCTGAACTTACAGCACAAATGCAGACGGTGTTGGCACCCATCCTTGGTCTCCTGAATCTGAGAAGGCAGCCCATGAAGGACGGAGCTCAGAGCCAAACTGGGTCGGAGTGGAGGTGTGGACTGAACATGGATCTGGAGGAAGTCTGGTGGTGAGGTTATTGGACTTAATTCTGTGTGGAGACGTGTCGTCTGATTTTATGTTTCAGGACCACATGAAGATGAGACGTTATTCAGACAAATGTGATAAAAACCATTTTAAATGTTATTAAAATATCTGAACTCTGACAAACATCCATCATAGTTGCTGAAGCTGCTCTGGATATCTGTGTGCAAACTCAGAATAAAAGGATTTTTATTATCATTATTATTGTTTCCATGTGGTTATATTTAGATGGGTGTCTGACTGAACCTAACTCCTGCCGGCTGTCGATAATAAATCAGAGTATTACTCTCTTCTTTTCACCCCTGCAGTTAAAACATTTCCAGAAAGTTTCACAGCGATCTCCTCAAAAGTGAACCGATATCTCAGTCTGGAACAGCTGAATGTCAGAGCCACAGGTTCTTCTTTTATTCTGCAGCGCTGACCGCACAGACTGAACCCACTGTGGGCAGGAGGCGCTCGATACTGTGAGAGTTTTCAGACACATTTAATTCGGTCTATCTCAGGTTGTTAATCACATTAGAAATGTTTTTCTTCTACCTTAATAGTTTGGACCCAGTGTCACCTGATAAGACTGAGAGAAAAGCAATTAAGTGGGCGAGTGTCTGAAAACACAAAGAACTTTTATATTACTCTGCATTGATTTGTAATTACTCAAAGTTACATTTAATTGTGAGCAGAGCTGCAGGCTAACTTTGTACACAACTTCTGAATCAGCGGCACCGACACAGTAAATTATGATATCTGAGTGATTTTTGAACAACTCTCCTCCCTCTGCAGTAAACAGACGCTTCACTGACAGTTACAGCTGCTCTACACGACTCTCTATACCGCCGGGTAATTTCAGAAATCTCATGACCTCTCCACTTTTTCTCACAGCCTGTTTAAATTTCCATCAGCGGACGCAGATCGACCATCAGAGGTCGCTCAGGAGGTCAACAGACTCTCCAGGGGAACGTTTGCCTGCAAGTTTCTTCATCTGTCTGAATTATCCTGAGCTAGAAACATGAACGAGAGATAATATCCTGGAGATTTTCAATAAATATCAGCTCTGAACATTCAAGGAGCAGAACCACTACAGAAGCAGACAACGTTCAGAGCCAGGACTAAATATGGAGAACTTTTACTAAATTAAAGGTTCACATGTGTCCAGAGGTTTCCTGCCCAGAACCCCCAAAATAAGAGTGCCAGACTCTGGGGTCTCTGTCTGACCTTAGGGCTGCTTGTTGTGGACAGATCCAAATCCAGATCGAGATCCGGGCCACCTCTTAATTTTAACCTCCCTTCTTTCCGGTACTTATTTGGGCAGATCCGGTACCTCTTATAAAAAAACAAAAAACAAATAAACAAACATACATAAAGCTGTTTAAAATAGAATAATCGTATGCATATATTAATTTGCAGAAAAAAATTGAAGAATTTCATTTTGTTCATTAAGATTTAATGTCATTTGAAAGAGTTGCAGATCTAATAACGCACTGAAAGGCTAGAAGACTCGAGGCGGCGTCAGTGTAGTCCCTTCACAGCAGCCATCTTACTCCAGTATACCATTCTGGTCCGCTCTATGGTAGCTGACGGGAGGTGAGTAATCTACATGATCAAAAATCCTCCTAACTCGCTGAAATCTTGACAGATTTACAAACGGTTTAGTTTATTACAAACCTTATTAACGTGGCTGTGAGTCGGGATGTTTGGACACATTAAAATGACAGATTTACTTTGAGAAAAAATGATTTAATCATGAAGCACAGTTGTTTCACAGCTATTTACGTGCAAGGGTTAACTTTGAGTCGCCTTGTCAAGGCTGAGACCAAAATGGAGATTTTAATATCTTGAATGACAAACTATATTTTATTTATTCAGTCTAAGTGTCAGTCTGTGTGGATGTTATTGTGTTTATCAGCTGTCAAACTTGACTAACAGACTCACTGTCAGTGAGACCAAGTACATATTACAAAGTTGACCCAGTAATTTGACATCAGTTAAAGAGGCAGAAATGCTCTTTAGATTCAACATAACTGAAGTTGTTCATGATTTCCAAACTGTTTGGTTTGTTAAAAACATCTAAAATGGAAACAAGAGGCAGAAATTTATACTAAAAATTACAGTTACAAACCAAACTGTTTGAAAATCAGTTTAAAATCAATCAATCTTTGGTTATTTAAAATTAGTTAATCTATGGTCATTTAAATTAATAATCTATGTTTATTTAAATTAATCAATCTATGGTTATTTAAAATTAATTAACCTGTGGTTATTTAAGTTAATAATCTATGTTAATTTAAATTAATCACTCTATGGTTATTTAAATGCTACATGAACCGTAGACTGGAATGTTAGGAGTGGGCGAGCTGACTATAGCAAGATGGCCGCCATCCGTGGACGTGGGTCTCCATTGGCTAACAGCGTGCTTATAATCTCGCACTCGGCATGAGCGCGTGATGCCGTTTCTAGCTTTTCTAGCCAATCAGAGACGAGGCGGGACCGTCCCCTTCCCACCTACGAAAAAAAATATGAAAATGCGGGCCAACAGGCCACGCCCCCTGACACAGAAACAAACTTTTGAAATCCGCCGCACCTGAGGAACAAACAGGGAGGAGAAACGGTTACTATTTCAACTCAAACATGTCGAAAATAAAATAAAACAGTGTTTCTTCAAAAAGAAGGACGACTTAGATAAAAACGAGTCAGAAAAGCCTCCACAAGCAGCGACCAGCTCAGCAGCTGCAGCGGTCATGGTACCGGTCTAAACCGGCTGAAGCAAGAGGCTCGCGCCTGATACAGGTAACCAAGGCTGGTACCGGGACCAGGAGGCTGGTACCGGGATCAGGAGGCTGGTGCCGGGGCAGGAGGCTGGTTAGGATCACCGCCAGCCGGAGCAGGAGCCAGCTACAGTGGTAACAGTCAGCCAGGGTGACCACCGACAGGCGCGTACTCTGGCATCAGTTAACCCGGTACAACAACCGGAGCAAGAGGCGGGAACTGCGACATCAGCAGCTAGCTTAGAGCAGGAGGATCCAGGAGGAGAGGAGACTGAGGAGGAGGAGGAGGAGGAGAGCGGACTGAGGAGAGGACTGTGGGACTGTAGGAGGTCGAGGGTGACTAAAGGACCCAGAACTGTCACAGACACACGGAGTAAAACCTGAAAAAAGAGGAGGAGGAGAACCCGGACAGGTTCTGTTGTGGAGGTGATCTGGACCAAACATGGTGAGTTTACTGTCTATTAACAGGCCGCCGTGCCAATCTTTGTATAATAGTAATGAGATTTGTGTGATTTATTAAAAGCTCTTCTTTGTTAAAGTTAGACCTGTTGATAAATTAATTTCTGTGTTCTGTAAGTCCCACTTGTGGTGATGTGGGCATTTATCTGTGCTGTGCGGAGTATATCCTTGAATAATTGTAAGTTATCTTTATAACATTTAGACCATGGATATTATTTAAAATCGAGGCTTGTAAGTCCCACAGAGTGGTAAGTGGGCATTTACACGTTGTTTTCTGCGGAGGCCGAGAACCGCCACTGCAAATAAAAACTAATGCAAAAAAAAAAAAGAAATGGTGCAGATAAAAAAAAGAGCTACAACGGAAGTTAACGATGGAAAAAAAAAATTCTTCCTGAGAAAATAAAAGGATGCAATTAAAAAAAGCCACAACAGAAGTTATTTGCAGTGGGCTTCAGTTTCTTTGTTTTTCATTAGTAACTTCCGTTGTGGCTCCTTTTTCGCGTCCTTTTTTATTTGTAGTCGTGGCGGTTATCGGCCACCGTTGTTGTCAGCATGTTTTCTGTAGATGTTCCGGGACCTGTGCCCGTCTCCTCATCCCTGAGCTGTCATATGGACTTTAGAAATCACCTAATGATTTACAAATCAATCACTGGTCAACACCTTCAGTTGGCTTCATCAGTTCAAGTTGAGTGAGGCGTTTTCTGTCTTCTCTTTTCAAAGTTTGTTTCGTTGGTTTTCAAACCTGAGACTCTGTCTTCAGGATTCTGGTTCTGGGGAAACCTAACAGGCGCTAAGATGTTGACTACAGCAGCATTAGACCGAAGAAAATCACTTCAGTGAAACAACAAAAACAAAGTCATAATCATTTTGATCACGATTGTTAAATGATTTAAAATGTGGATCACGCACATTTAAGCACCTCAAACCAGGAGCAGGGCCGCACAGTACTAAGAAAAACCCTCATGGTTGGGTCTGACCCGGGTGTTAAACCGGTCTGAGGTCAGTACCAGGCCAAGCAAAGGTGGTACGTGTGTTTTAGTCCCTTCAGTGCAGACAGTCGTCTCTGGAGAGGTGAGAGCAGCAGTCAGACTGTCTGCTTTCCTCTCTCTCTTCTTAATTGTCTTACATTTGTCTCTGCAGACCCGTCTTTGTCTCCCTCTCTCAGCGTCTCTTGCTCTCTCTGATAGTTTAAAATCCCATTATCCCGAGCAGACTGAAGCGGGTTCCTTTGAGCCTCGTCTCAGTGCGACAGGAACACAACAGGAGTCTGTTCTTGCAGGAGGAGCGACGTCTGAAGAAGAAGGAGGAAATGTAACTGGATAACAGCTCGACACTCTCTGTGCATCGATTTTTATTTCACATCAACAAAACCGCAAACTGTCTGTTTGATTCTCTTCTCATTACCTCTCAGTCCTGGTTTACCTTCCTTCTGCTCGCAGAATAATCCCACCTGTAGGCAGGAGGAGCCATGATGTACCGCTGCGGTGAGATGAATTTAATCAGATTAAGAAACAAATTTATTCATTTAACTTAAAAAACCTGCAGAGAAACGCAGTCCTCCTCTTCCTCCTCCTCCTCCTCCTCCTCCTGCTCGGTGTGTGTGTGTGCAAACAGACCGACTCATGCACAGCTCTTGATTGATCCTTTTGCAGCCGTTACATTAAATATGCGTCTCCCTAACCTGGTGTATTTCCTGCTGCATCCTCACCTCGGCTCCTGGGTCAGATCTATGAGGGCGATGGCGTCTCTTCATTCAGGTGAAACCCTCGCTGAAATGCCTCCTCGTTCTGGAGAGGATTCATTTGGACTTATTTGCAGCTCTGTTTACCTCAGCATGTCTGCACTCGGGTCCTTTCTCCTCTTTTCTTTCAGCAGAATTATTTTGGTTTGTGTAAACACAGACGCCGTTTCATCATGTTTACTCGGCCTGTTCGCGGCTCGATCCCTGAAGGAGGTCTGCAGAAAGTGGAGAGGCGAGAAACAAAAATCCACAGTGATGTTTTTAAATCGGTGAAATAATATCAGAGTGAGTCTGAGAATGAAGACTGAGAGCTCTGCTGTCAGATTGAAACAGCTCTCAGACTGAATGAGAAATGACAAACTCTGCTGACTGTTTGTCTGTTTTTTACTCCTAATCCCGGAGGATTTACTGGACGCTCGGCTGCAGAGAACTCAATCAGGGTCAGAGGTATAGATTTCCAGCAGTCAGAGAGAGAGTTGTGTGAAATATGGATTTGTGCGTTGATGTTGCAGATTGGCCTCACATGGGAGATGTAATAAATTAGAGGGCGGGTGTGAAATCGGTCAGCGTGCTTCAAATATTTTACCCCGCTCTTATCTGAGTCCTCCCCGGGCGCAGAGGGAGGTGGTTTAATGTTCACAGCCTCCTCTGCATTAAATAGCTCACAGCGTTTAGCATCATTTTATCACACAGGGAGCCGCAGACTCCGGGTGATATCTGTGTCATTAATCTGCCATCTGCCCGTACCGTGGATTAGTCACAAATACAGATCGAGGGCCTCGAGGGCGGCTAAGAAACATGCCTGTGGATTTATCCGTTTAGTACTTTGGTCAAAGAAATGTCAACAGCTCCACTTCTTTGGGGAACCACCAGCAGCAGTCGGGACATCTACACGTTCAAAAAAAAAAAAGATGCAGAGTTTCTACAGGCTGGAAAACGACCAAAACGGACATTTGACTGTTTTTAGAACAAGTTTCGTCCAGTCGATTGGCGGTTAACATCACGATGCAGGGCCGAGTGGCGTGTAGTGGTGGAGAAGGCACAGGTGTTGGGACTACATCCGTATATCTGTGCATCAATTCCACCAACAGCTGAAGTGGCCCGGTCTCCTTCAGGTGACCCTCTCCAGTTTCTCTTTCAGAAAGTTTCACTTTTATTAAAAGTCTGTCTCCACCTTCAACTTTGAACAGAATATCACTTATTATATTAAATTTCAAGACATTAGCTTTGGATTTAAGTCCTTTAGAGTTTCAAAGACCTGCCAGCCTCTTTGAAAGCTCCACCCTCAGGACAAGATTTACCAACAGACGGGCGTTAATGCCAACACTGACGGAGGAGTCGCAGAGCGGTTTGATCCAGTCCATCTCTCTGAACGTTTTAATGAAGAGAGCGGCCGACCGACGGAGATCTGAGGAAACTCCAACAGAGTTTTTATTAAAGTGAACTCAGAGTTTCTAAAGAGAGACGGTGTAAAGTCATACAAGATAATAAAAGAAGATAGTAATAAAATATAATAATACAAGATAATTAAAGACAAGATCATAATAGAAGATAATAAAACAATAAAAGACTGAGTTTAAATATGGTAACATGTTATACACTAAAGTGAACTCTTGAGTTTTTAAAGAGAGACGTATTAAAACCAGATAATAAAACAAGATAATTAAAGACAAGATAATAAAACAAGATAATAGTACAAGATACTTGAAGACAAGATACTTATAAAAGATAATAAAACAAGATAATTGGTACAAGATAGCAAAACAAGATAGCAAAACAATACATTAAACAAGATAATCAAAGACAAGATGATAATACATGATAATGAAACCAGAAAATAATAAAGACAAGATAATAATGCAATAAAAAACAAGATAATAGAAGACAAGACAATAAAGATAGATAACAAACAAGATATTAATACAAGACAATAAAACAAGATAATAAACAGAAATATATATTGAAGATATTAAAACAAGATAATTAAAGACAAGATAAAAAACAAGATGATTATAGACAAGTTAGAAGTACGAGATAATAGAACAAGATAATTGAAGACAAGATAATAGAACAACAAAAGACTGGGTTTAAAAACACCAACATGTAACATGTTTTTCACTTGTTTACATCTCCCCTCCCATCATCCAGATTTTGAGGTTTTAGAGCTGTACTTGACACAGATAAGAGACTGGACCTGGACCTGGACCTGAACCTGGACCTGATAAATCAGCATCCCTTTGTTTTTCACGCTCCTGTTTCTCGGTAATGTTTAGACAATGGCAGTTTTTCAGTCTTTAAATATTATCCAGACAGGATGAAGAAAGAGGCGGTTTTTCAGCCTCTGATTGGATGTTGATGGTTGACTGTTGAGGTCAGAAAATAAACACCTGTTTTTGCTAAACAGGTGAAGGATTTCAGAGTTCTGAACATGGACCCAAGTCAGAGGACAAGGTCTTTGTCTCTGTTTGACTCCAGAAATAAAATAAAAGTGTCAGGACATAATTACAGTCAGAGGTCTGAACTGAAGGGCTGTAACTCACCCACTGGTTTCTCCCTGTTTTGCATCGATTGCTGCTGAAATTCACAGTCAGAGTCTTTTTTTTAATTACCTGTTCAAACTGAGGAATGGTGTGTGTGTGTGTGTGTGTGTGTGCGTGTGTGTGTCTGTTTTCAGAGACACAAATATTGAGATTTTCAAAGGTGAGATTCACACCCTCTTAGTTCAGGGTGTGAGTCTGACTGTGTTTGCAGCATTGATAGTGTTTGACTCTCCCTGATATCCTGATTAAAATGCACGAAAGTGAGACGGGTTGAAATATGATTCATAACTTCATTAACTGGGAGACATCAAAATATTAATTTCTGCAAATTTGGGGAATTTTTTTGCACAAAACTCCAACCTGCAAGTGAACACTCCATTAAATCAGGAGAGGCTGAATTACAAGTCAGCTCTAATTCACTTAACAAGATTTAAACCAGGATTTTTAATGTGCACGTCTTTTTCAATTAGACCTGACTCTAATCTTTTCATGTTTTTATGCAAATGACTCGGTGATGGAGCAGCCGTTCACATGAGACCACCACCACCACCACCCAGAGTCCACCGCTGTACCGAAGGCTGAACGCCGTCTGTTTTCTTCTTTAACGCTCAGGAGTTCAGTCAGAAAAGCTGAATGTTTTGAACACGCTCAGTAATGTTGCACAGGCACAACTACGCAGGAGCCATGGTTGCCAGGTCTGCTTATTATAAGCCAATTTGGCTTCTTTTTTGAAAAGTTCGTGTAAATTTTGGTAATGGTGGGTTGAATCTTTTTTGGGCTTGTTGTTCCTCCAAACTCAGGAGAGATCTGCTGCTCACTCTACAGGAAAACTCAGTTCAGAAGTTTCATAAATTACTGTCTCTCATTCTCATTCTCTCTCTGTTTTTCATACGTTAAGATTCCACTTTGATGAAAGTGTCTCTTTATTTCACATGTATGGTTTTAGTTTGGGCACTTTATTTATGAAACATTAAAAAGACATTACTATTTCTGACACTATGGTCATCACTCAAATGACATTCTCTGTAATCAGTGAGAGAGTGTATCAGTTTTTTAACATGTTGGCTGCTGCACTTTATTTTAATGTTTGAAATGACAAACCTTGTACATAAATCCTCTGGTATGTGCCTCTGCTTATCCTAATCATGGTGGGCTGCCATGGCCAAAATTGCCTGGGCCACGACACAACACCGGTGAAGGGCGTCAAAGACGTCCACTCAGGTATTTCTCTTCCATGAATCCTGAGGTGTTTAATCTTGTTGGTCGTTCACCCTCCTTTACAGGATATAACTGTGTTCCTAATGTTGCTCTGAGAGAAGAGTTCAATCTTCCTGATGAAGTTAGACAAACTTTTGACCGACGCCGCTGTGGGTTACAATGTACTCTCTCTCTCTCTCTCTCTCTCTCTCTCTCTCTCTCTCTATTCTCTCTCTGTGGTTTCGTCTTAAACACCTCATCGGTGTTCGGCGGCTATTTCTTCCGGTCGTCGATGCTCCAGACTCGATGCCCAACCCCACTGATGGTGGAGTGTTAAAACTTCTTAGAGGAGCGTCTCAGCGTCTCTTCAAATCAGCTGATCGGCCTCTGTCTGCAGGAATCTGTCGCCTAACTTTCTCTACCTGAAGTTTCTCATGAAAGGGGCAGGGCTAAAACACTGATTAGTTGATTAGCGACGTGACGTTCTCACTTGAGACCAACTGAAGTACTCCTTTACAAACTTGGATAATTATCTTGTTTTGCATCAAAATGAAAAGGATCTCCTTGGACTTCAGAGACTCTGTAGAGGTCTGTATCTGATCCCATCATCCCCGCGTCCTTACAGACGCTCAGGTCTGTGTTTATGAGGCTGTTTCACTTCCTGCTGACGCCCTCAGTCTGCGGTGGGACACCTTTCCAGCTGGGCGGGTCCATCACCTCCAGGAATCCATCAGGGCCTGGTGTCGCTGCAGAAGCTGCTCTGATGGTTTCTGTTCAGAGTTTTTTTTACCGTACGCTCGTATCGCTGACTTTCAAACCTCCTCCTCCTCCTCCTCCTCTTCTTCCTCTTCCTCCTCCTCCTCCTCCTCCTTCATCTCTGTTTGGGTTTTTTCCATCATTTAGACCGTCACTTCATTTCAGGCCGCCACAGTGAAATATCGCAGCATCATCAGCTTTCTCTGTTAGTGTGTATTAGTGTGTGTTAGTGTGTGTGTGTGTGTGTGTATGTGTGTATTAGTGTGTGTTAGTGTGTGTGTGTGTTGTGGCACTGATAAATGCTGAGCTAAATTTAGCTCTGTGACCTGCTGCTGGGAGAGAGCGGGCCTGGAGATTTAGGTTGTGACACACACACACACACACACACACACACACACACACACACACACACACACACACGTCTGTTAGTGACCCAAATACCAGTTAGAAATATATATTATATAAACTTGTTCCCATATCGCCCAGCCCTACTGTTTGTTTATTAACCTACAGACACTTTCAGCTGATCTGACCTAACTGTCTGTGTGGAAAGGTTCAGATCTGGAGAGACTTTCCTTCATTATCTTCATCCTGCAGATTTATGACGTTATTATTATTATTATTATAATTAAAACAGTCTCTCAACACGGTCAGCTCTTTGTCAGCACACTAACGTCAGACCATCGAGGACGTGATTCATGATTTAAAAATCAACTTAATGAATTATTCAGTTTGTGATCGACCGAACAGAGAGGTGAGGAAGACTGGAGGAGTTTCAAGACGAAGAGGAGAAGGAGGAAGAAAAGGGAGTTTTAGTGTTTTTGTTCCTCAGGAGTCCATGAATCGATGGAGATCCACCAGAAGAATAGTTTGTGTCCTCCTCTGTGTGTGTGTGTGTGTGTGTGTGTGTGTGTGTGTGTGTGTGTGTGTGTGTGTGTGTGTGTGTGTCTCTGACTGTCTGCTGATGTTTACAGCCTTGAATCTCGCCGCCTCCATTGTCGTTGTAATTGGAACAAATCATTTTCCAGCCGTTGTCTGTTTTTCTTCTTCTGCTTCTTCTCCGGATATCTGACGAGCTGCCCCGTTCGTCTTCTTCGTTGGTGTTTTATAAGCTGCAGCATGGTCTCCTTGCAGGACTGGGTCTCTGTATCGACCCGCTCTTCCTCTCAGACGGCCCCTCTGAGGACCAGACCCAGGCTGTGATCAACGGTTATCGACTGGAGGGTAAAGCGCGGAGCAGCATCCGGAGGGAGAGGACGTCTTTAGGAGGAGTTATCGTGTCTGAGGTGTTTTTCTAAAGCTCTCAGATCATCTGTGGAGGTTTAAATCCAGGAGTCCAGACTTCACACACACTCTGAAAACAGCCGTGTGTATCAGGTCATGAGTGGAGAGTGAAATCAGACCGGTTCACATCTGTCCGTCACAGCTGGTTAACGTCTCTGCTGCTTTGATAATCTTTGTCTAGGGCTGGGCGATAAGGAGAAAAGTTTATCAGGATATATTATTTTCATATCAGCTGATATCGATCAATATCAGGATATAAAAATCTAACAGTGTTTATTGGTCTCATGTACTCGACATAATTTACAGTCCACATTACTCTGCTTCATGTCCGACCTCCAAACACCAAAATACCTCCACACCACCGACGTTTTCCTAACGCCAGTGTTGTGGTTGACATTGATGTGGTCATCTGTTGAGCCTTCATGGTCATTTCTGTCGGGGGTAGCACTCATTTTCTTTGTTTCTCACCAACAGTGCTGTCGGCTTCACCTGTTAAAGTGCTATGGTTGGGTGGAGCTGCTGTCTGCTACGACGCTGCAGTTGGTTGATACTTGGTTCTAATTCAGAACATGATTGGTTCAGACCCGGAGAAACTCCCCTTTTCATTGGCTGTTCGTATAGTCGACCAAAACATGGCAGAATGACGACTATTGAAAAGCATATTGATCATGTTTGATATTGATATTGAGGGAAATTAGTTTAGATATATATCATTATCGTTTAATCGCCCAGCCCTATATTGGAGTACTTCTCCTGAACTCTCCTCGGTTTGTCCTGCAGAAATCAGCTGACAGGTCCTCTGAGGTCTGCTGCTGCTGTTTTTATTCAGAGCTACAGCGGGGGGGCAGTGACCCAGACCAGGTGACAGGGACATGAGTGTGTCCTGGTCCTGCCGGGACATCGCTGTGTGTGTGTGTGTGTGTGTGTGTGTGTGCTTATAAATAGCGTTGTTTTGGAGGCGCCTCGTCTGTTCAAAACAAATTAAATCAGCGTTGTCCTCACCTGCTGTCACCTGATTCTCTCTTTCTTTGTCTCTTTCTGTTCTGCAGACACAGCTGGAACTCTGCTCCACTCTCTCTCTCTCTCTCTCTCTCTCTCTCTCTCTCTCTCTCTCTCTCTCTCTCTCTCTCTCTCTCTCACTCTGGTTGTGAAAATGGTTGTGAAAATCCTCCTCCTCCTCCTCCTCTTCGTCTTCTTTGCTGCTCCGACAGGTCTCTTTTTCCCCGACAGTGAGTCCTAACTCTCCTCTTTGTGAGTGTTGGTGTGTTCGGGTTATATTTACTCATATTTACTCATATTTAATCACGCACAAACGAAAGCTTTGGAAGCGCCGCCACATTGATCATTAGGCCTGAAGTGCTAAGTGGGTTCTCTGCGGGGGGTTTGAGGCCTGCAGAACATGGCTGCACTTCACTTCAGCTGGATTAAACCGCATTAGCATACTCTCTGAAGTGTAAACACCATCAGAGCTGCTTTTGTCTAATGTGTGTTTTAACAGGTTTTAGAGCAGGGCCTGTTTATCTCAGTTTAAGAGACGATTTTTACTCTCCAAACAAACCCAGAGTGGAAAAAACTCTGAGGAGACCGAGGAGCGTCAGACTGATTTCAACCCGTTTCTTGGTCTCCTTTTCCTCCCTCACTTTCATGAACCGGCTTCAAACAGACTCTGAGGTCGGCCGGACTTCAGTGGTGGTCAGTGGCGGTCTTCTGGACCCCAGTCAGGTCAGCAGGTCTTCAGGAGGACGCTGTGAGAGTTATACATTTATTTTCTCAGAGTGACTTTTGGAGTTATCTGTCGGTGAGCATGAACCTGCAGCTCCTCCAGAGACCACTGTTCTTTTAGAGTGTGTGTGTGTGTGTGTGTGTGTGTGTGTGTGTGTGTGTGTGTGTGAACACCGATCAGACCGTCTGAGTCTCTTGTTGTCATGGTGATGCGGAGTGTCTCCGCGCTGCAGTGTGTGCACGGTTGCGTTGGCGCGTCTCCTCACACAAACCCAATGAATCCTGGGACATTTGTGCGATGGCCCCGTCACCGTATTACGGCGAGCTCCAGCTGAGAGGGCGGCTGCGGGGTCACTTCGCAGGAGCGGATTTGTTTTCCTCATCAGAGAGGAGTCAGGGTTCAGCTCCTGTTTCATCAGAGCGGTACCAGGAGGCGCAGCGTCTCCTCTGCTGCTGAGATTTACCTTTTTGTTGTAGTTTGGCCCCGTGTAGGAGACCAGGAGAAATAAATGAGAAAAGGTCGACCACGCTCTGTTTCTGACTCTACAGTCTCTTTATTTATCGGTGGACAACAGAGGGACACAAACCGGACTAAACTACAGCCTGATTAAATCAAGAAAAAAAAACAAACAAGCTGCTCTGACTTCTACGGAAGACGATGAGGGCCACTGGAAAAAAAAAAAGAAGGGCCAATATAATTTTTATAATTTTTAATATAATTTAAAGTCAAAATTCTGATTTAGATTCAGATTCAGACGACTTAATTCATCAGGAACAGATGAATACCAGACATTCACAGCATGACCCAAACATTCCCCTGTCAGCTCCACAGAGCAGCGATAAATAAATAACTACATAATAACCAGTGTGCAATACGTTCACAGTGGAAAGACTAAAATGCAATAAAAAATAACGCGATAAAAAGAGTAAAATAAGAACTAAAACGATCCTGAGACCCCAAAATCCAACACAGGCCACCAGCGATTCAGGGGATCCGCAGAGGAACGGAAAGAAGTCGGTGTAAATTGACACGTTAACTTGAATGGTTACGATCAGCTACGATCGGAGGATACGACCTTTTAGGAGACGATCAGGATGAAGGTGGAAATTGGAGTTTAGAGAGACGCGGCACACATCTGCTCTCTCTCTCCGGTATAAACCGTAGAGCAAATTTTTACAGGTCGGCACTTTGATTCGTGTTGGGCAGTGTGACGTTAAAAACCGTGTGACAATATAAGAGTTTATAAAGTCGTGTGTAACTCCTCCTTTGTTTTGCTGCTCCTCAGTTCATCTGATCGTGTTCTCTTCTATCATACATACTGTGACGATGTTGTTGTTGTTTTTGTTGTTGTTATTATGGCCTCGATTATCGTGAAGCTACAGTGGGACGTCCTGACAGCCCCCACACTCACGAGGCCCACAGTCTGTCTGTCTCTCAGGGACAGGTGAGACGTCCTGCTGATGTTTGGACGGTCCAGGTGTCAGATCCTGTTTCCCTGAATATCAAACCAAAGAGAAAACTTTCATCTGAACAGTGTGGGAGGAGGAGGAGGAGGAGGAGGAGGAGGAGGAGGAGGAGGTGGGGATTTCTGTCCTAATTGAATCAGCTCCTCTGTCTGTTCTTGTGCAAATGTAGATCTATCTTGTTTAGAAGCTCACAGATGGAGCGCTTCAGCGGAGGGAGAAACCTTTTTAAGATTCAGAGTTATAAATGAGAGTAAACAGTTCAGTGGATTTAGTCCAACAACAACAAGAAGAAAGTTTAACTCTGACAGGTGAAGTTACAGATTTGAGATTCCTCTGAGACCAAAATTAGATCGGTCTGTCAATGATGGAGGCTAAACCGCTCCAAAACACCGCAGAAATCCTCCCGTTTAGGAGTTCAGAGGCAGAGTTTAACAGGTGTTTAAAACTCCAGACTGATGATTTCTTTTCTGGTTTGTGTCTCAAACTTCAGCCATAAAAACGGTAAAATCCAAGAGCAAATCAAAGCAGCTTTGAAGTCTTTTTACGCTGACAGGAGAAAGTTTGACTTTGGAGAAACTTCCTTTTAAAGTTAAACCCCAGAGCTTCTCCTGCTTCCTCCATGACCCCTCTCTGTTTTTACCGACCCAAAATTCATTCACAGCAAGTCCTCAAAGAGCTCGCTCATTTACTTCAGAGGGTTAAAAGGACAGAAACATCCAAATCCAGAATAAAAGGAGCACTGAGCGACTTTTTTATCCAATCTTCACACTGTTCTCAGGAAGCAGACCTCAGGAAATCCTCTCTGAACTGAGTTCAGTCTGAGAACGATCTGAAGAGAGAGAAAACTCACTCTCCTCAGGACTCTTCCAACCATCCTTCAGCTGCTTCCTTAAAATGAGACTAAAGTTCAGGATGGAGTCCAAACCGCTCCCGTAAATGCATCGTCGACATGTCCTGGTTAGTCTTTTACATCTCAGAGTGGAGGATCGGCAGCCCCTCAGTTTCTAACCTTGTTATCCAAGCAGAGATCTGATTGGGCAGCCATGCTATGATGATGAGGCACTGCACTGATTGGTTGATGGAGATTGGAGGGTGGAGACTAGTGCAGACTAATGTGGAGGCAGTGGGTTCTATGATCTGTGCTGAATTTATCCACCATGCTCTGGTGTCCGATAAAAAAATCAAACTCTTGTGATCAGCTGAGGAGTCCGGCGATCCGCAGAGGAACGGAAAGAAGTTGGTGTAAATCGACACGTTAACTTGAATGGTTACGATCAGCTACGATCGGAGGATACGACCTTTTAGTAGTTGTGGTGAAAATTGGGGGTGAGCCGTACAATCATTTTAAGAGGAAACATCAGCCACAGGACTGCTGACGTGGATGAATATATAATTGAATTTGATGAATAAAGTTCTTCTTATTCTTGTTAACCAGCATGTCTAAGAACAGAACAGTCTTTGAGGAGCATTTTCAGACATTATAAAGATACAGCTGAGCTGATCCAAAGCAGAGTAAATCAAGATCCAGGACAGGGATGGACTGATAGTCAAAGAAAAGAGCTGCTCACAAAAACTGCAGATGAATGTGTAATCTGTAGAGACGTGCATCTGGTCTTGGTTTGAAGTCCACCGAGAAGACGTAGGAGATGAGTTTGAGGTGTTTTTGTGGTGTTTGTGCAGGCCTGTCAGACTGTTTGCTAACAGAGTCAGACTCTGAGACATCTCTATGACAAAGCAGTGAAGGACTAAACGCTCAGAGCTGTTGCAGATGAAAGCTCCGTCCAGCTTTACTCGGTGAGTCACCGTCTGCTGCTGCTGCTGCTGCAGCCTGACTGTCACGGCCGACTGAAGTGACAAGCTCCTCTCCAAAGTCCTCTTTAAGCTGCAGCTGAAGGCTTTTTTGTGCCGCTGTGACAGAGTTAGAGGGAGAATTAGAGATGTGTAAGGTGTGTGTATGTTCACTGTAAGGCAGGTTTCTTCAGAATTAGGTCCATGATGAGTGATGAAACACCTGGAGTCTGCAGAAAAATGTGACCGTGGAGCGTCTCTGCTGGGAGTTCAGAGTGTTTGGAGAGTGAAGGTCAGGGATTTAACAGAGGAGACAGGAGGAGAAAACTGCAGAGCTGTGCACAGAGACAACAGGAGAAAAAAATCCAAACCTGAAAACGAGAGCACGCCGGACTCCAAATAAACCGACAATTTCAAAGAACTCACTGAAGCTCTGATTAGTGAGGGTCAAAGTCCTCCTGTAGGATGTTTAGGGGGCTTAAAGGAGGTTTATCTGAAGCCTTTCTGAAGTTCTCCGTTAGTGAACCAGGAAAAGTAAATCCAGAAAAGATTCCTGACTTAATTCCTGACTTGTACTTTTGTTTCTTTTAGTCTTCAGGTCATTAAAAAAAACACAAAATCTACTTTATAGGTCACAGCTGCCTAAAACGCTCAGTATATATGAGGCTCTAGACTCTGAAGATCTACGCCACTCGACTTCAGCTGCACCCCAAACATTTATTGCAAACTGTGTTATTATTATTATTATTAATGTTATTGTTATTATCATAACCATTATCAGTAGTATCATTAAAATCTTCGCTATCATAGTCATTATTATCATTGTCATTTTTAACATAATTATTATTATCATAATCATAAATATCATTATTATTGTTATCACTATCATCATAAATATTTTCATCATTATTGCCATAATTATCATTATTATTATTATTATTATTATCATTTTAATCTTTATCATTGTCATCTTTATCATTATCATTACCATTACCATTTTTTATTATTGTTATCATTTTTATAATTAATATCACTATTATTATTATTATAATTATTGTTGTCGTTATTACCATATTAATTATAATTAGTTTTATTATTTTTTATCATTATTACCATGATTGTTGTCATTTTTATCATTATTATCATTGTCATTATTATCATCATTTTTGTCGTTAAAATTATCACTATCATCATAAATATTTTATCATTATTGCCATAATTATCATTGTTATTGTTATCATTTTTATCTCTATCATTGTCAACGTTATCATTATCACTATCATATTTTTATTATTGTTATCATTTTTATAATTAATATCACTATTATTATTATTATTATAATTATCGTTGTCGTTATTACAGCATATTTATTATGATTAATTTTATTATTTTTATCATTATTACCATAATTATCATTATTTTTTATCATTATTATTATTGTCATTATCATAATTATCATTACTATTATTATCTCACTATTTTCATTATTCACATATTTATTACCATTATTATAATCATGGCTGTGTTTGATTTAACAGTTGAACTCAGAGGTTGTTGGGTGAACTGTAGTCAGTGTTGAGGCCCATTATGAAGAGTTTATGTTCTCTGTCAGTGGGTGCAGCAGTGGAAGCTAAACTGGAGCTAATAGGAAACTTTTAAACTCATCATCATCATCCTCCTTATCTTCATCCTCTGACACACTGAAAGTCTTTGAAGCTGATTTTAGGATGGTTTTTATTGCACTTGCTTTGAAGAGAAAATATGATTATGAGAACTGAGAAACAAAAGAAAAGATAAAAAGAGCGTCTGACAGGAAAGGATGAGGAGAGACACAAACTCAGTGGAGAGGAAGAGCTTAACGTCATGTTTCCTGAGCTACCTGCTCGACTGAGAGGAGCTCCGTCTGAACTCAGCGGGACGACCGAGTTATTAATGCACCTGAGGGTTTTCACGCTTTTCACCTTCAATTGATTCCTTTCCTGTTCCTGTGAGATTAATCATACTGGTCATTACTGCGGTCCCTCCAGAGCCGACGACGGCACCAGAGGAGAGGCAGCGGGGGGGAGTCGGAACGAGAGAGAGAGAGAGAGAAAGAGAGAGAGACTGAAAGGGCTCAGGCTAAGCAGACAGCAAGCAGCTCTTATTGGTCACTCAGAGAGGCCACACCCCCAACTGTACTTCACCATGAGCTCTGTTAAAACTTGACGGGTGGGTTAAATGAGCCGTAGTGACCAGGACTGTTTCTGTACCAGCCTGTAAACTTATTTATTCCTGCTGCGAAGTTGGACATTTTAACATGGGGCTCTATGGGGACTGACTCACTGTTGGACACAGCCTCTAGTGGACATGAGTGGAACTGCACTTCTGCGCCTAAAGTCTGTCATTTCCAGCCTCTGATGTTTCTGCTTTAGGAGGAAAATATCTGAAAAAGATCCTTTTGTTTATTCAAAGAATTAATTTGAATTCTGCTCCAACTATTGTTGTTTTTGTCGGCCTGTTTTAATTTTAGTTTTAGTTTTAGTCTTCGTGTCAAACTGTCTTTTTAGTTTCTATTGGTTTTCGTGAAGAGACATTTTAGCAGAGTTTTTTTTTGTGAACCACATTTCGTCTTGTTTTTATTCGTCAGTGATATTTCATTATATATTTAGTCACAGTTATCGTCATAAAACCACCATTATGTTTAGTCTCGTCTCATTTTCATCACGTGATAAAGGTTCGTTGACGGCGATATTTCAACATAATTTTCGTTGATGAAAGCAACACCAGCTCCAACTCACTGTGAGGGAATAGAAACATGCATTTTAAACACATTATTAAACATGTTTATGTATTTTAGTTTACACGTAACAAGTCTTGGAGTTTAGTCTAACCCTGTGTGATCTGGATCTGCAGAGGAGTAAATGTGATCAATACAGAGACTCTGTCCTCCTAAAGCAGCCTGAGTAAAAGACAGAAACTGCAGAATGAGCCTGGACAGACAGACAGACAGACCTCAGTGTTAATATTCTCCTTCACATCTGTCCTCCTCTGATATGAGCGCCGTGTTTACTGCAGCAGGACTCCTGCAGCATGAATGAGATAAGTTTCTCATTATTCTGTTGGACAAGCAGGAACAATAATGCGATGGGATTATTGATCCGACCCATCCGGTCCATACCTTCCCTTTCAGAGGAGAAAAGGTGTTTGAGAGTGTGTGATGTCCTCGTTCACCCCTGAGTACAGCGTCTCTCCTGCCTGCTGATTACTAAGTCTGGGTTAGGTGTAGTTTTCTCACGGCTCTGTTGGAGCTGCTTCTTCTCTTCCTCTCCGTCTGTGTGGCCTTCAGGAAATAAATCCAGCTATCAGGTAGGACTCTGAGCTAATGAGGCGTGAGGAATGTAACAGCTGTAATCTGTGGGAAGAGCTGGTTTGGGTTTAACTATCAGGATCTCCTTATATGGGCGAGGACTAAACCTGCATTCTCTCTGGTGTCCAGCAGGGGGGAAACTCCACAGAAGTTAATTTGAGGTTTATTTATTAGAATTTAGGAACCGGGACACTTACTCGACTTTAGGAGGATCTTTGAATACTGTCCCAAAAGAGTCCAGTTTACCACAGACAGACAGACAGACAGACAGGTGTGTGCAGGAGTTGTAGAGACTTCAATCAGAAGATTTCTGCATTCATAGTTTCTTCACGGCCCGTGTTTGCAGCTCTGTCATTAGTTTTACTTCTCCATTGTTATTAATCGCCTCTCTCTGAGTTCAGGTTCTGCTCTGTTGGAGCTGAAGCTCGATTAAACGTGGACCTCTTAATTGGCAGCTTTCTGTTCAGTCTCTGCGGGGGTAAGGTGTCCACGCCAACCTGCAGAGATAAATGTTTTTATCATCCGGTGTCCCGAAGCGACGCTCCGACTCCAACATTTCAACCTGGTCGAGTTTTGTAATTGAATACTGAAGCAGCTTTGACTTTTAATTTAATTTAGACATCAGTGTAACTTCTAATTTAATTTCAGCGTTTCTTTGAAAGCTCTGCCGGGCTGCATGCTGTGAGTGTGTGTGTGAGGGCTGGAGCATTAAATGTTGCAGTAAGTGGAGGGCTGTGAAGGTCTCCTGGCACAGAGAGCGGTGGGAAATTACCTCTCTAAGAGAAATCAGTTAGCAAAGCCAGCGAGCGTCTGTCCCGTCCTTCTCTCCATCACGCCCTCACAGCTAATAATCCTCAACAGTTCACCCTCGACAGTCTGAAAGCTGTAAAATAGGCCGCTAAAATCCCATTTCCTCTCACTCTGGACTTCTTTCACATCCTTCTTTTGGAGGGTTTCACACCCGGAGCTTTGTGGGAGGAAGGAGAGATACTGGAAGACAGCCAGAGACGTGAAGAAGAGGAGAGCGAGGAGAGCGGGTTATCGCTGCAGGGGAGAGCAAATTCTCCCAAAATCTATATTTGCTCATGGGGAGGCCTCGCTAATATGACAGGTCACGGATGAAAGTGCAGACAGAAGCCGGCGTGCAAACCTAACACACACTCACACACACTCACACGCACACTCAGGTGGCGTGGGGCTGCATCCTCCATCAGACGCCTGATCTCAAAGCCTCGCCTCTAATTGTACCCTGTTGCTTCGCCGTGTGGCAGGAGGCAGAGCGCGCCCGGTGGCCCACTGAGCCGTGGCGTCTGTCCAAACAGCTCCGTGTGCACATTCTGCACTCAATGGGCCGTGAAATCAAAGTCCTCTCACTGCAATTATGCCAGTCAACATTCAGCACCGACCAACTGCTTGTGCTGGAGATTACCGAGGCATTGTCTGCTGTCTGTGCACGAACACACACACACACAGACACACACACACACACAGAATTACCAGGAGCAGGCTGTCAGTCTTCTGCAGGCTCCATTTCAACTCCATATTGATTCTGTGAATGCTTCTTTGAAGAGGAAACAAATGTGTTATTACCTCCGCTCCTGCTGTTCCCCGGCGTCTGAAGTGATTAGGATTTTAACACGCCTCGGATTGCGCCGCGATAAAATCGATTCATCAATCGATCTGGCAGTTGTTGTTTCGCACCGGTTGCTCTTAGCAGCAGGCCGAGCGACATTGTCCAGATGTCCTTCCCCAGCATGTCTCCCAGCTCCCCCTGTGGGACCTGAAGATGTTCCCAGACCAGATGGGTTATGTAGTCTCTGCAGCCTGTTCCCAGTGAGCCCAGAGGTCTTCTGCTGGTTTAATGTGCCTTTAACCAAGGATGCACAAGTGAGCACAACGTAGGAGAGACTTGTTGAGGACAGAAGTATAAAGTCCACCTCATTATTGTAACGAAGGGAAAAGTAAAGGCTCTGAAATGTCCTGTATCAGATATCCATTAACAGTCCAAACTGCAGAAACTGGTCTCCTGGGGGGGTCTTCAGGCTGCACCAGAGGACCCTAAATGTTGGTCGATAAACAAATCCAATTCCTGAAGTTTCAGCAGAAGTTTCAAGTCCCCCAACTTTCTGTAGACCTAAGTGAACTCAGCAGACCAGACTCTGTAGACTTTACCCTCAATTTTCACCGCATCCGGAACAGCTCTGATCCGGAACTGCAGCGATTTTTACCGTCTGCCAATTCCTACCAGATCTGTTTGTGAGGCGAATATTTTGAAGAGAAGCCGGATGTTTTATTTTGTGTCTGTGCCCGACTTCCTTTCCAGCACGGGTTAATCTGTGCTGAATTTATCCGCCATGCTCCGGCGTCCAGAAACAATAGAACTCTTGTGATCAGCTGAGGAGTCCGGCGATCCGCAGAGGAACGGAAAGAAGTCGGTGTAAATTGACACGTTAACTTGAATGGTTACGATCAGCTACGATCGGAGGATACGACCTTTTAGGAGACGATCAGGATGAAGGTGGAGGTTGGGGGTCAGTGAACCCAGCAGACCAGGTTCTGGAGTCTCACAGTCAAATGTTGTCCTGTTCTTGCCTGATAGAGGACTTTGGTCAGGACCGCATCAGTCCAGGTCCTCAGCAGGACTCTTCTCCTACAGAGCCATGCTGTTGTACATCCCTAAAGTCAGACTGTGGTTTGTCTTTGAGGCGTGGATCGATTATGTCTTGGAATTATGTCTTAATCGATTATGTCTTGATTGATTATGTCTTGGAATGATCATGTCTTGATTGATTATGTCTTGATTGATTATGTCTTGGATTGATTATGTCTTAATCGATTATGTCTTGATTGATTATGTCTTGGATTGATCATGTCTTGATCGATTATGTCTTGATTGATTATGTCTTGGAATGATCATGTCTTGGATTATGTCTTGGATTGGTCATGTCTTGGATTGGTTATGTCTTGGATTGGTTATGTCTTGGATTGGTTATGTCTTGGATTGGTTATGTCTTGGATTGATTATGTCTTGGATTGGTTATGTCTTGATCGATTATGTCTTGGATTGATTATGTCTTGATCGATTATGTCTTGGATTGGTTATGTCTTGGTTTTTGGAGAGTGGGTCAGACACGCAGAAAGAGCTGCAACCGCCTCAGTGATGGTCAACCACAGCCTCTGTACACGGTGCAGGTCCCTAAACCAGGAGGCCAGCTGGAGCCATATTAAAATAATAAAAGTACTCTTGATTGTGAAATTGAATTATAACTTTTGTGGTATTTTATTATCAGTGGTTTTAGTAGTTTAGACAGAAAGGTTGAATAGATTATTATAATTTGTGTAAATTTCTGCCATCCCTTTGTTAGTCACTCACTGTTGGGCCACCCCAGTCTAAAAAGTGTAGACACGCTCCTGCACAGTACTGAGGGGGCTAAATGGACTTTACCTGCAGCACCTGTCATCACTCCCCCGACACACCTGAGTGTACCTGAGTGACACAGAAACTCTTTAAAGGCTCTTTTTACATCTGAAACCATCTCTGTACTGCTGCCTGATAATTACACTAGAGTATAAATATTATTATATATAAGTCAGAGTGGATATCTGTGTGTCTGTGTAATGGATCTTAGTACAGTAATATACAGAAGGACATGTTCCAGTGTAGAAATATCATCACTGCCTCTGTCCAGGGTGCTGAACCTGAAACGCCCTCACAGAGGAGATCTTTACTGTTAAACCCTGAAGTAGGGCTGACAGAATAGATGTTTTCATTTTGTTTTTACCCTCAGACGGAGTCACTTCAGCTCTTAGATTAACAAAGCTGTTCTCTGAGAGTGACCAAGACACAACAAATCACCCTAAAAAAGAGGAAATAAAATCCTGAAAAAGACAGGATTTTGTTTTTAAAGTGAACCTGAAACAGAGACTCTGCTCAGGTCAGATATTTATTAAAACTAAAAGATAAAAACATCGATTTATTTTCCTAAAACTTCATTTTACAACAAACATCTTCAGTTCAGAGACCTGCAGGAAGCGCTTCATTTGTTTAGAAATCCCAAAATACCTACTTAGGGGTTTTAAAATATCCCCCATTTCTCTGGATCATGAAATAATAATGAGTAAATCTATATAAAGCAGATCTAATTAGACCGTTTCTGCCTGATCTGGTATGTTGACACTCACAGCAGGAGGAGCTGCTGGAGGAGGGAAATGTCTCGGTATCTTCAGTGAGGTGAATATTTAACCCTCTTCTTCGTGACTGAGAGGAAACGCCATGGCGAACCAGCGCTGGGAAAATGAACCGGTTATACTGAGGTCACATGATCGGGGTCAGACGGCCTTTTTCTCCATCTCTGCTCTGTCCCGATACAACCAAGATTAAAAAAAACAAACTCCACAGACATCCACATCTCCACCAGCTTCTCCTCATCACTCATCTAGTCGTAGTCCTTGAACCCGTGACCCACAGAGATCCTGAGTCTTTCCAAAGTCTCTGTGATGTCTTCAGATGTCCTGCTTTAAGACGTCTCCTGGTGTATCTTCGTCATAAGTCTTCCAGAGCCTCTGTACCTCTTTGGTTTTTCACTGACGGGGTAGCAGCCTGGAAATCAGGCCCACCTGGGTCTGACTCAGCACCACCTGTCTCCCCAAAGCTCTCCACCTGGCTAGCTTGCTGTCCCCGCTCTGACTCATCCTTGCAGCAGTGCTTGTGTTGACAATCCACTCTGAAAATAAACTCACGGACATCAACTTGAATCAAACTTTGGGGCGAACTCGAGGGGTGTCTCAAGTTTCCCTGAGGCGGTTAACAACATGGCTGCTCCTCTTTTCCTCTCTTCAGATGAGAAGAGAAGGCATGGCTCACCTCAGTCCACGGGTCTGGATTCAGGTGAGACTAGATGTGGTTCAGGCTTGTTAATGAGGCTTACAGATAAAAAACCAGGTCTCGACTGTGCGAACGTTTCACTCGCATTAGCGACTAAAAATAGATGTGTGCGAATTGTAAAATGTATTTAGGGTCACATGTGCGCATACAAAAAATTAGCCAAGTCAACAATTTTTTTTTTTCCTGTAAATACGGCAGTGAAGTTAGTTTTAGGTTGGATATATTTTCCTGTAAATACAGCGGTGAAGTTGGTTTCAGGTTGGATATATTTTCCTGTAAGTACGGCGGTGAAGTTAGTTTCAGGTTGGATATATTTTCCTGTTAATACGGCGGTGAAGTTAGTTTCAGGTTGGATATATTTTCCTGTAAATACGGCGGTGAAGTTAGTTTTAGGTTGGATATATTTTCCTGTAAATACGGCGGTGAAGTTAGTTTCAGGTTGGATATATTTTCCTGTACATACGGCGGTGAAGTTAGTTTCAGGTTGGATATATTTTCCTGTACATACGGCGGTGAAGTTAGTTTTAGGTTGGATATATTTTCCTGTAAATACGGCGGTGAAGTTAGTTTCAGGTTGGATATATTTTCCTGTAAATACGGCGGTGAAGTTAGTTTCAGGTTGGATATATTTTCCTGTAAATACGGCGGTGAAGTTAGTTTTAGGTTGGATATATTTTCCTGTAAATACGGCGGTGAAGTTAGTTTCAGGTTGGATATATTTTCCTGTAAATACGGCGGTGAAGTTAGTTTCAGGTTGGATATATTTTCCTGTAAATACGGCGGTGAAGTTGGTTTTAGGTTGGATATATTTTCCTGTAAATACGGCGGTGAAGTTAGTTTTAGGTTGGATATATTTTCCTGTAAATACGGCGGTGAAGTTAGTTTTGAGGTTGGATATATTTTCCTGTAAATACGGCGGTGAAGTTAGTTTTAGGTTGGATATCTGACGGACATTCTCTGAGGATCTACCGGTGTCTTCTCACTCTCCATAACCGGGAATAACAACAGCAGCGCGGTTAAATCTACTCGTTGAATAAGGGAGCGTCAATAAATTACCGGTTGATGTTCTCAGAAAAGGCTGTTTTCCTTCAATAGCTTCACTGTCATGTGACCAAAAGACCTCAAATTGATTTCTAATAATAGTACGGGTCGGGCAATAAGACACACCTCTTTTTTCCCTAATTTGGGATATTTATTTGACGCCATCATTTTAAAAAACCTCATCAGACTTGTCAAAACTCCTGAACTTCATCTTGAGATGTTGGACTTACAGGAGGATGAAAATGAGATGAGAGTATGGAAGTAAATCTGTGCCATCTGATTTTGAATTTGAATTTCTATAGCTATTTTTAATAAAATTCAAGATCAGATGGCACAGATTGACTTCCATATGAGAGGGAGTTGTGCACCTGACTGGATGTGAAACCCTGTTAGAAATCTCACAGGTGGATCTGACGGCCATGAGGGTCAGATCCTGAGCAGAGAAAGAGCAGATTTAGTTTTCTGTAGCATCTATAATCCAACATCCTCATCATCTCGTTGTCATGACTGAACAATGATGATTTTCTCTTTCCTGGATCCTCGTCTTTTATTGAAGGAGAAGAACTATAAGAATAACAGATCTACTCAGTTTCTCCTCCTTCATGCCCTCTAACCGGTCCCTCTGAGCCCAGAACAGACCGAGCTGGATGAGACTCAGAGTCATAAAACGAGGGGTTTCTGCTGCGGGTCTCCTCTTCCTCATTCTCTGTGTTCTTCTTCTTCTCTGCACCTGACAGCGGACAGGAAATTAAAATCAGGTCTGGGAAATGGATCGCATATCCAGCAGGCACGAAGCAGGAGATAAAGAGAGGCAGAGAGAGAGGAGTATATTCAGGAGCAGAAACTCAGCCCAGATCAGTGGTCGGCTCCATTCATAATGAAAATGTGATTCTCAGAAACACAGAGCTAATGGTCTCTTTAATGAGCTCCACCTTTATGCATTAGTGTTGGGGAATAAACAAGAAGCATGGCTGACGTTCCTCCACCGCTCAATACAGTCCTATCTGTCCTCCTGCAGACACCTCAGCTGATAACGCTGTGGGCTGGATCTGTGGAGCGCCTGAGAGCCATCAAGTACACGAAGACCACAGAGACAGATGGATGCAGGTCAGTCCAGACTAGATAATACACAGGTGAACGAGATCATGAAGGTCTGAGTCCAAATAAAGGTCAGGGTTACACCCTTCAGTTCAGTTTTTATAGGGTGATCATACGTCCTCTTTACCTGGTCATGTCCTCTTTTTTAGGGCTGTCCGGTTTTGTTCGGGGAAGTTTATAAAATCCTTCAAATGTCCGTGATTTTGTATGAAAGGTTCGATTTTGTGTCACGTGTAAAAGTCACTCGATCTGACCTGAAAAACTCTCAAAATGAACTGTGTGTGACTCCATGACTCCGCCCTCCGTGTCCTCTTTTTTAGGAAGTCAGAATATGGTCACCCTAGTTTTAACACGATAGCAGAGAAATAGAGAAACAGTCGGTAAACTCGACCGCCTCGACCAAAACCATCAGGCTGTGAATAAATCCTGTGTGATCCTGCAGACTTCCTCCTGCCTGTTCATGCTGCGCTCCTCCTCCAGGAGGACGACAGCAGAGCCGACATGTTTGTTGAGGCTGGGGGC